ATTTTGAGTTTTTTTTTGTGCATATTATTTTTATTGCCATTTGATTATAATTGATCAGTTAAAATTGCTTGTTAAGCTGAAGGACAAACATGTGAAAAAAATCAAATCGCTTAAGATTATACCCATCACCGTAGGATGAGTAATGTATTAGTTATGGCAAAACATTTACAACACCCAGAAGGAACCTCCAGAGACCTGTTAAAGTACATGAATATATTCTTGATAACAATGAAATTTTAAGCTGATGTAGGTATGTCCGTCCGTCAGTCCGCTTGTTTGTCTGTCAATTCGTCTGCTCGCAAAATTGAAGCTATCCACTTCAAGTTTAGCAAAACCATGAGAAATTCTCGCACACAGACTGCTATTGAAAATGGGATTGATTCATCAAGGCACTCGCCCGCGTAAAGCGTAAACTGAATACTTATCTGTTTCTCCAAACAAAAATGTGTAGCTTTTTGTTTACAAATCATAAATTATGAAATGTAGAAGGCCGAAATATTCTACATTTATCTTAGCAGAGCCCTCCACTATTCATGTCAAGAAATAGAGCAAATCGTCCAAGCCCCCACAACGTTATATATACATATCAATAATCAAATTTTTTTTTTTTTTTTCTCTTTTTTAAAGTTTCTGCTTATTATCCTCGATAGAAACGGGAAAGTATTACATTTAGGCATGTCCGCGCCCGTACGTATGAGTAATGTCTGCTCTAAACCTTATTCTGAAAATCCTAATTCTATCCTAAAAATAGAATTATAATCTTCAAATTTGACAGAAACATTGAAAGTTCTCGCATGCAAGTTGACATTGACAATAGGGGCAATCCGTTGAAGAAGATGCCTGCAGTGTCACGTAAACTGAGAGCACATCGTACCTTCCAAAGAAAATGAAAAAAAAAATCGTTTTTCGTTCATTACTTACAGACTACAGCGGATAAATCTATAACAATTTACATGTGTAGTCTACGGGCGACGCTGTAACGCAAAAATGGAAAACATAGGCCAGGCCGGCTCCATTTTATAGTGTAGCATAATTTCATTTTTTTGTAGAAACCTTTATAACGCCCAGAAGCAAGCTCCAGAAACCCCATAAAATATATACACTCATGACTAATACCAAATTCGGAATGCACCAACGTGTGTTCATCTGTCTGTCCGCCCAACTCCGTTTTCGCTCACAAACTTTGAATTTGATAAAGACACGCCTAGAATGCAAGAAAATCTGTCAACATTTTTCCTTGCTGTGCTTTTGCTGTACTCCTGGCCCACTATAGGGAAAATCAGCCACGCCTACAAATTTTGTTTTTGCTTTAGTTTCTTTTAGAATAACGGTGACTGGCATGCAAGATTCGCTCGCGGCCAACTCTCATTTTTTTACTTGTTTTGCTTTTTTTTAGTTTCGCAGTCGCGGCTACAGTGCGGAATGCAATTAGAGCTGAGGTTTTCAACATAGTTGACCTTCCTTAAAAAAAAAAAAATTAAAAATATTTTCTTATATTAAATATCTGACCTCAAGATACACATCTTTGGCCAAATGCTACGCTTAAGTGTTTTTGACTTTTTAAATAGATATTCAAGTCTTCGTTGAGAGCCTTTCGAAACCAGTGACAGTGCTAGAGTTAGTTACTTTTAATAAATTAAATAAATAAAACAGGTTCAATTTAAAAACATTACGTTTTGTAAACAAACAACAAATATTATAGTGAGACACGGCATTAAACACCTTACACCACTTCGTTTAACAGAGAACACCTCGGCCCCTCAAATTTCATCAAAATATCGCAAAAATTGCGATCTGTAAGTTGAACGCAACAAAACAAAACGGACAGACGAGCAGACAAGTCTAGATGGATTCTCAAACTTTTACGGTGATACGACCAAGTTATCCGAAAACCTCATACATCCTGGACTAGCCTCTCAAAATGCCGGACATCTTGCTAATAGTTTACGATTGAGATGTAAACATATGTCTGCGATATCTATTGCGAATACGCTTTGTCACTTTGATTAGAATGAGAAAAGAAAAGCACAAAACCTTAAGTTCTACATTGTGATTGTGTGTGTGTGTGTGTGTATGCTTGGATTTATGTGTATGGGAATGTATCGTCATAACCATCATGATTATCATTATTATTGCATTGCTAAACATTTTTGGTTGTTAACTTGCAGCCGGCAATATCCGCTCGAAGCTTCCTCTGTGATCTGGCCGCTTCGCTGAATACTGCAAGCGTAGCAACGGCTATGACTTTTATTTTTCAAATACTCACAAGTGTGAAAACATTTAACAATGAAAATATAAATATTATATTTCAAGGTCTGAGTCCTTGCTAGTCTTAAAGTTTGATTCACCTGATTACAAAAATCACTAACACAAAAGTTCTTAAGCATCCAATTTCTTTGAAAAAGCTTAATAGAATAAAGGGAACTGCTCTTAGAACAAATAAAAATATCGGTAACTGCCAAGCTGAAAATTCCTTCTCTTCTCTCGTCATTTACAAATTTATTGATAATAAGCACAGACACTCCGGGAGATTCTGAGTAGAGTAAGCCTTGCTTAACGCAGCGCAGTGAGTTATTCTCATTAACTGTACCCTTCAGAAATCTCCAAATGTCTCCAACTGTGTCGCATTAATCGCACACACTTTCGAACGTCAGATCTCTCTCTCTCTCTCTCTAATCCGTCGTGAAAAAAATTTTGCATGAAACAAAAAATATTGGCTAACGCCTTTTCAGAAATTAATGCGAGACACATTATTTCTGGAACAAGAGGATCATATAATTAACATAAACTTTTCAAAATCAATTGGGGCTTTTGCAGTAGACCTTAGTAAATTTTTTATCCGTTCGTCATTATTCTCGAGTGCCTTCCGTTATAAACCCTAAGAATAGTTTATATTCTTTAAGTGTAATACGGAATTGAAGCACTAGCGCCTATTGATTCCGATCTATATAGTTGAGTTGAGAGAAGTTTCGCAAAGTGCTTAACAATGTAGTCAAGCTAAACGAGAAAAATTCTGCCAAGATATTTCAATAGATTTATCGGGAATTTCTGTAACTCTTATGGTTTCAGTTTTTTTCTATTAAATTAATAACCGTATCCTGAATTCGAGGTTGACACAGTTAAGAGATCAACAACGTATCGAAAAATGAAGGTTTGACCATTTTGTAAGCTGTGAAGATCAGGAGGGTTGATATTAAAATGAGTAGGTCTCAGACACAGGAAGGATATCTTTCCCCAAGTCTTTGTTAACAAGTGGTTATGTGGATAGCCTGTTAAGGCAAAGCAAACTTCCGGTAGAGCAACTGGCTTGCCATAGTGATGTTTTCTTTCTACTCTTCCTGCATTAGGCTAAGCCTTTTTTTGTTTTCACAATGATCAAGCTATCGTTCGCTTTGATGTTTTTTGTTGCCACCGACAGATATTAACAAATTCCGGAACTCTTTATTCTCCTATTCACGGTAAAAATAGACCGAAAAAGCTTTCGCTTGTAACTTTTCATCACACCACTTGTGGTAAAGCTTATATTAAGTTTTTGCGGATGTGTGTAACACGCAGAAGCGATTATAATTCGCCCGCCTTTTATTGAACCGATCGATTCAGAATCATTTTTTAAATCGATCTAAGTCCGTCTGTCCATCTGATTTCTGGCCAGGACAATTTCTATTCACGCTGCAGGTCGCAATTCTAAGATGCTTCGATGAAATTTGGTACACTGACGTGTTTTGACTAAAGATCAAACGCTGTTGAAATTGGATTGGATCGGTCCACTTTAGTCCAACCTATTTTGAAAAGTCGTTATATGGAAAAAATTACAATTTGCATAATTTCTCGACGAAGGTGGCTAACTAATAATATTTTGGCATTCTAAATTCAATCGGATGGGGCAACTTTTTGAACCCTTTCTTAAATAGCTGAAATTGAAATTCATATAACAAAACGGTCTAATTTTTGATGCTTTATGATGCAAATCAAATCATAATAGTAATTTATTATAAAAAATTTAACTGTACTAAATTTGGCTTTTTTTGGTTCTACTCTACATATATAGTTTCCCGAAAAATGTTCCGTTGTAGAGCAGAAAAGTTTAAATTTTAATATATTGTGATGAAATTTAAGAAATAATACTAATTTAAAATAAAAAAATTCGCTGTTCGACTAGTCACGCCTATTTATGGATCCTACATCATGTGAAGATTTTTACGAAAATTTTGTTGTGTTTTTTAGGGTAGAAAAGCTACATTTTTAATATAATATGATCAAAGTTGATTCATAATAAATCCAGTCAACCAGGTCTAAACACATTGATAACAGCGAAGACACGGCTTCGTATGAAAAAAGTTACGTAAACATAAATGATGATGGTCATAGTCATGAGACCTAGTGGTAATAATCGGTAAATTGGGGTTCTCCTTTAAAAAAATATCTGAGAAAAATTAAAGCAACTAAATGATAATGAGAAAAATTTGCAAAATTTTTTAGACAAGGAAAAGGTTATATATTATTAATTTCACCAGCGTCTAAGATAATCGGTTTTATTAAAAACTCTGCCGCGGTTGACATATGAACCCTTGACCAGTGAATTTTTGGTCGATAACTTATGCCTATTGGGCCGCTCAAGTGATTTACTCTTTATCCGGTGACTATTTCTATGCTTTATAAACGTATGGTAAATATTTTAAACGAGCAAATAAAACTTGCGTTCCGTGGGTATATTTGTCTTATTGTAAATATATTCAATTTCGTTCGTCTTTATCTTAATTCGAATCAGCTGTGTTTAAATGTTTCATTTCAAGTTTTCTGTTTCTTGTGCTCATTTACATGTCGACAATTCAATGAACTTGGCAGCTCTAAGAAAATAAGTAGAATATGGCAACGCTACACTTTGTCCCATATCAGAAAAAAAGTTTGCCGACACGAAAAAAATATGCAAAAGTATTAAAAAATTCTTGATTCCAATAAATTTTAAATAATCCATACACATTACCTATGGCGTTAAATGATTAAAACAATAAAAACAAAATTAAAAGCAACAAAACAAATGCCACGGCTTGCAAGTAAGGAAGAAACGCAAAACGTCAGCAAAAAAAGTAGAAACAAGTGAAGAAAACAAAAACCGACATAACCAACATAAGAAGCCAACTAAGCTGAAAAGAGCAGTGAAAAACAATCATATAAAAAATTTGAAAGAGTGTTTTTAGCACTCAAAACTAAGACAGAAGCTGATATGGGAATTAATATTAGCAGGCAGACAGACTTGGCAGGAAATGTATATTTGCAAAAGTTTGTAGGAAGGACACATATTCATGTAAGTGAGATGGAGTGAAATTATAAGGGCTTTAACTGATTGAACCTTTTGTTTACATCGTGAAAAAGATTTCTTCATTGATTGAACTTTTTGTTTACATTACAGCATGATGACTTGGAGTTTTGGCGAGCACTGTTAAATTATAATATAAGTATTCCCGAGACCAGTCAAGATCAATTGAATCTAGATTCGCGATTGGAATCATTGTGTCAGTCATTCATCAGTAATAACTTGAAAACTGGAAATTTTGGTTCACTGATTGTTGTATTCTTGGAAAAAGTCGCAGAATTGTTATCCCTATCGGATCAAGAAAGCAATTTACATATATGGCAGACATTCAATGCTTTATTTATAATACGCACCGTGATCAAGTATATCATAGAGACGGGTTCAGAGTTTCAATTGCTGCAGCATTTCGAAGCTATACCAAATGAACAGTTATTAAAGGCGGAAGAAGAAAATTTGACAGCAGTAACTGCAGAAAATGTAGTCATTGGCACGGAGGCTAATGGTAACGATGAAGCTGCGATTGCGATCAACACAGCCGTAATGGTGGACGGGTCTAAATTCGAGACATTCATTGATGCCATAGTCAATTTGATTGTTGTCATACCTGTGAAGTAAGCGATTATCTAATATATTTGCTAAGCGTTCTTTTTCTTTACTTTATTATAACTTTTTTAGAGAGTTTACATATCATTTGCATCTGGAATCGGTTAACTGTTTGATCACTTTGTTGTCGGTTCATTTGTTTACACAACAGGCTGCAGAAAAGCTCATCATCTTCCGAACTATATATAAATGTCAGCACGCGAACGTATTAATGTCGGCTCTGTTGCATTTTGTAGCTCGCTTGGTAGAAGTTCCACCCACTATGTTTGGTAATGCTTCAACTGGCTCATTTGTTTTCGGTATAGCGGAATCTTTGCTCTCAATATTTAGTTTCCGTAAGCAACAGGATATTTTGAAAATTAGTGGCGTGACTGGAGTAGAGCTGTCATTACAATTTCGGCAACATTTCCCTTTGGCCAATCAAAGTCTTCTCTTAATTCTCATACTAACCAATCATTGCACGAGCAAAGGCAATGCTTACCGTGCTAGTTTATTCGGCTGTGCTGATTCGAAGGAGTCGCCAAAAGAAGGCAGTAATACGTTTCAAATTGACTTTTCAGCGGTATATGAGACTTTGTGCCGTGTAGTAACCATTGATCAGGCTACTTTACTGCTGTATCTCCTATTGCACCGTAACGAGCGCTTCTATAAATTCGTAATGACGCAACCTGATCTTGAAAAGTTGGTTACACCGATTTTGCAGACTTTGTACAATGCTCCCGATAGCACTTCACATCACATTTATATGTCGCTAATAGTTCTGCTTATATTAAGTGAGGATGATGGCTTCAACAAAAATGTTCACAATATTGTAAGTTGCGTAAGCAGTAAAATGGAAAAGGACCGGTTAAGTCGATTTATTATAACTTTTAGATTTTGAAAAACGTCACTTGGTATACAGAACGCACCATTTCCGAAATTTCGTTAGGAGGCCTTTTGATATTGGTGGTTATACGCACTATACAGTACAATATGTTGAAAATGCGTGACAAATATTTACACACTAATTGCTTAGCTGCTTTGGCAAATATGTCGGGACAGTTTCGCAATCTTCATCCGTACGTAGCGCAACGGCTGATATCTCTGTTCGAGACACTGGCACGCAAACACACCCGTTTAGATGCTCAACTTAAAGAACCTGTTAATAGTGCCGTATTTGTTAATGTTTCCACCACACCTGAGGACATGATGCAAGACTTGACCGTTTTGGAGGAAGTATTGCGTATGGTATTGGAAATTTTAAATTCATGTCTTTCCAATCAATTGGTTTACTGTCCAAATTTGGTATATACTCTCCTGTATAAACGTAGCGTTTTCGAGGGATTCCGCAGCCATCATGCCTTCCAGGATATAATACAAAATATTGATATGGTAGAAGCCTATTAAGCATTTATCTCGCTCCTTATATTAGAATCTTATTTTTTTTTTGTTTTTGCTGACAGGTAGTGGGCTTCTTTTCGTCTCGTTTGCAGCGAGTACAAGAACAACGTGGAGAGTTGGGTGTAAATGAAGTGTTTGAAGTGATTTCTAAAGGTGCCAGTCAGTGGTCAAGCGATCGGTTACGGGTAAGTTAATCAATTAAAATTAGTTGGTTAGTTAGAAACACCAAGGGAGACAATACTTTTTCTATACGAAGAAATTTTCTTTACAAACTGCGAAATTATTAAAAGTGAGTCCGCAAAAAAATCATCTCTGTCTTCGAATTGTAGCAAAAACCGGCAATTAAAATCAACGAACAGAGGCATTAAAAAGTCCAGTTTAGAAAGTCTTCCTTGCCTCGTTAAATTGTTTGAAAGTGAAAGCAGAGAACTATCGCCTGGACAGGATTCTTTTTTAATGTTGAGCGCATTTCATTGGTCATTATAAGCAGTTTCCTTATAAGAGGGTTGTAACGACGTATTGTTAAGGCAAGGAAAAATGAGAAAATAACAATTATTTGAGTTGCGCTGGTTGTCGATTTAAAAATCTGTGTTTCGAGATAAACGCGTTTGAAGTTTTGTTATATGTTATGCCTTCTTTTATAGATAATAAATCAATTTTTTGTTATATTTATTTTTCTATTATTCTGACATTCGAGGACCATACAATTGCGCTTCCAAGTTAAAATATTTCTCCTCTTTCACTTTTCTCGAAGACTCGATGCTACATCCTGCTTGTTTTTCAGCATTTGCCAGGCTGTTCAACTTTCTTGATCAACCTAGCGTTGGCTTGTATGATTATGCACTAATATACACTTTCACAACTTTAGTGAATTGTAAAATACTAATTGTCCCGTCATTAAAATATCACACAGCAGTGTCAGTGGCCATGTTCAAGACATTTTGTTTATGGAAAATTCCGATATTTTAAGGAAACAATGGTATCTTACAAGGCAAAAACCATTTCATGCGATTTTTTGAGATAGCAGGAAAACAGACGGACAAACCACCTTAGATCGATTCATAAAGTGATTCTAAATTAATCGATATAATAAATGCTCAAGTCCTTCTGGATATTATAGACATCTGTGAAAGCTTAATAAATCCTCTTACCACAAGCGGTCTAATGAATAACAGTCTTTAGTTCAGTTACCAATAGACATATATTCTCGTATTGTAGGGCAGCTTATGCATAACCAATTGTTATGAGTTTAGAAAACTCATTTAGAAAAAACCAATAGTTTCTCTGACGACATATTAACTTTTATTTTTTTGTTTAACTTTTAGAAATTTGCCGATTTAAAATTTAAATACGTTGAAGAAGATGCTCCTGAGGAGTTTTTCATACCATATGTGTGGACACTGGTGTGCAAATATGGCTGTGTGCACTTTAGCTCTGAGAGCATAAAAGGTATCACCGCTGAAATATCGTGCTAATATAGAACAAGAAGAACCCGAAAAGAAAGGACGACACAAATACAAAATTTGAAAAACAAAATTTTATAATCAAATGAATGCAAAGACATCTTCCCCTGTCTACGTTAACCGTTTGTTACATTTTCCCATTTTCCATTTACAAAAGTAATATACAGAATATCAAATTTTTGTTTTCTTTCTTTCACTCTACTCAAAAGTCTTTTTTTTCTTTGTTTTTTGTTTTTCAATTATTTTGTTTAGTTTTATATTAATTTGCGTTAATTGGCTTACGGTTAAGCAAATTTCCCCTATTTTCCATTTTCTTTCATATCGTGTTATGTTATGTTTTTTTTTTTTAATGACCTTGAAAAAAGTTTGAATTATTCCACATGCACTTAGGCAACTGGCACAAGCAATTCTAATTGAGTTTTCCGTAAGCTTTTTAGCAAATCAATATAATTAATTAAAGAAATATTGAAAAATGAACAAAACAAAAATCTCCTAAGTATCGACAATTACTTAATGTTTTAGAAAATTGATTTTTTTGTCGTAACTGTCTTCGATTAAAAATTTATATTTTTTTTGCTTAAATCGAAATATCAAAGAAAATCAATAGTGAAAATAGTTAATAATAAATGCAATAATATGACTAAAGAAAATTGTTTTGTTTGTTTATAGGAAAAAACACAAGAAAAAAAAAACAAAAACAAAAAAAGAAAAGAAAAGTGAAAATAGTCTGTCCATTTAAACTCAAATACTAAAAATAATGAACAAATAAAAAATTTTGTAAATTATGTTTAAAGCAATTGCAGAATGTATTTATGTATGTGTATAATGAAAAATAAATGAGAAAAATTTATATGTTACGGAGAATTGTAATAATAATATAAATAATAATAAGTACCAGAAATATTGCAATAAATTCATTTTAATTAAGAGTAAACTTTTCTGCTCCATTTAATGTTTTTTCGTGTTAAGCAAACGATGTTTTGAAATGGGCTGAGTTTTTTTGTTTTGCTTTGTTTTTTTTTTTTTTCCTTTGCTTTTTAAATAGATCACGTCGTTTATTTCGTAATTGATATTTTAAATTAAGAAATAGTTATTAGGAATTAATGCGAGATAAAATGTCTAATAAAACTATCACATCGGTCTTTTTGGATTTGTTTACCCGATTGGCTTAGTCGTATGGAATCACAAGTTTATCTAAGAAATAAATGCATTTTATAGAAAATTATTCTTCAGCCTACGTGAATCTGAAAAATCAGAAATTCTATAAGGTATAAGCGTATATGTAGGTGTGCGCAAATCTATGTCTGCACATCTAACTCGGTTGAGGATACGATTAAAACACACACAGGAAGTTCGTCTGATTTCGACGTTGAACGCAACTATCTACTATCATGTGGTTATAGCGGACGCGGAGTAGTTTAGCAATTGATCGTTTCTCCATGGTCTACTACGATTTGCGAATGTTGCGTTTGATTTCGCCTATACCAGTTTTAGGGGATCCACAATTATTGAAATTTTTACCCTCGCAATCTTCACGTTTAGTCGTGGTCTCCAGTTATGGCCAAGTACAGTTAAAATTTCAATGTGTAACATAAATAACAGCAAGCAGCCAGTGTGTACTAAGCTTCGGTATAAGCTTTCCGGTGATCAATCTGGTCATATAAGTACTATAGCGTCGGTAAATACTCCCCAACCACAATTTAATGCTTTCTCTCGTGATACCGAATTTGCTGATCCACTACCTATTACTGATACCACATTCCCCTTATCGTCAATAGTTTTGTCGCACTTGGTTACGGGTACACGGGTACTTCCCTGATTGACCAGCCGAGCGTTATTAATATCGCCGTCCGACACCAATAGAACAGGAAGTTTTGAGCAACATGAAAATGTAAGGACCAATTGGATATTCACCCAACCTGCGTAATCAAATAGCGCATATAACTGAACGCCCTAATGCTGATGGAAGTGCAAGTAGAACCACGTTACCGAGTTGCATCTTCATCAATACATAACTGCCCATAAACGTAGAGTATGCGTCGAAGGAAATCTCTCTTTCTTGCCATTTTCTTTGCGCTTAGTTTTCTAGTTAAGTAGGCATCTTAACATCTACTCTACTTAACACTTGTTACAGGGGCAGGCAATAATTTAATCAGCATTGTTAAATCATCGAACAACAATGTTAACATAATACCCCAACGCTACAGCAAAGTCGACTTGATGTACTCGGAGCTGGGTACACAAGATTTCCATTTCGAACAACACAATCGGACTTGCTTCGCAAGTTTAGAAGCTACGCTACTCAACCGTTATTGCGACGCCATGCTACACAATTTTATATTTTATTGAACCTTTAAAGGAGAAATGATTCGAACATAGCTGCTCTAAAGAGTTTTGTCGGACTTGTGAATTGGATTTCGCCAATTTCATATGTTCGACAAGAGTACGGGTGAGTACATAAAAATTATTAGCATAGTTTTGAGACAATAAACATCCGCGTTTGTTGTTATCCAACTTCCAATCCTTGTCAAGGTAGCAATTTTTTGCATTTATTTCGCAACGTTGCACCGAAGCTTCAGCTTTGGAACTAATTCTATCCGATCGGTCCTATAATGTTGCGTTCATTGACAGTACCAGTAAACATTGACAGTAACAGTAAAGTTGTAACGCTGACTTAAGGTGCATGTAAGCACGCATTTGTTGGAAAATGAGTTACACGTTTCGAACAGGATAGCATTTTAGGTTCTCGCGGCACATGACTTCTTAACTGTTGTTCCAGTTGGTGGGCGGAGGTTAAGGACATTTTTTCGCATAAAGGATATTTCCATTCTTTTAAGCTATCAAGTTGATTATGCGCCGAATTTAATTGCTGATGATATTTTTCAAAGCAATCGAACTCTTCACTACATTCTCTGCAAGTAATATCCAATTTAATGTTTATATTGTTTCAGTTCGGAACTCGCGTTTGTTTTCTTCAAGGCGAGATGCGAAGGCAAGAAGTTAAGATCTTTTTTGCGCATAATTCCATTCGGAAATTAACATATTTTTGTTCCTTAAATTATATTAATTATTTATTTTACAAGTTTATATATAGTTTTTTTTATTTACATACATTTTGAAACATCATATCAGCACCGCTCTATTGTTTTCATCGGGTGACAATAATCTCTGCTATTCTGCATCTCATATTGCTATAACATTTACTTATTATCTTTTTGGATAGATGACAAATTAATTATATAATAAAAAAAAAAAAAAAAAAATTAATAAGAAAGTGGATGAATATATGAAGAGTAAACCTAACCTCAAATATGGAAATCTTATTTTTAGGGAAAATTTGAAATCTTCTCGAATGTCGTGCTAAAGAAATTGCTAAGTGATTGTCATTGTTGTAATCGTACGTATTTAGTTGAAAGACTTTATGAATCGAGCCGTGCATATATATACGGGATTTTTGATATTTGCCCTTTATCATGGTATGACTAATGTTTCGCATTTCATTCTTATTGTTCATTAAAATTTCTTAGTTCTTACTTCTCCAATACGTTTACCCTTCTTATTGAAGCTATAAATTTTGATCATATCTCTTATAATTCGCTTTCATATTTAAAGTTTCCTTCTTATGTAATTCAAAATTTATACACATTGACTTCGTAAGCCAGACATTTCGTAGGTATTGCATAACACTCCTTAGAAAAAAACAAAATTTCTATTGTCTCTTATATCTTCCGATATGATTGCAAACTTTTTCGTATATTGTAAGGGTGCATTGGTTTACAAATTGGAGCGTCTACTGTGGTATAACCTTGAAAGAAATTAGCGAACTCACTTTATGATGCTTCATCGAAGCATCGGCAAAAGTAGGTTCACTCTATATCATGAGAATAAAGTGTTTGTGAAGCGAAATTTGACTTTTAATGAAAATTTGGCGAATAATACAAGAAGGCGAGCCGGGATTTGCTTTCCCATAAATCTGAGCGTTTATACCAGCATACTCACTTGGACTTGGACTCACTCTGCACTTGCATTAGATCTGAAAAGCAAAAGAATTGTGTTTTTATATATTTAATGGGAAATCGCACAGTACGTGGTTAAGAACGGAAAAGCCTCTTGTCTAATGAATAATATATAGACTATTGAATATCGGACTTTTATTTTTTACGCCCATTGTGGTAAAAGGATATATTAATTTTATGGGAACGTATACAACGTCTAGAAATACATGGGATCAATACACCTTCAAAAATCCTTAACGAAACGATGTGAATGAAAGTTGGCAATCGGTGTGACGAACACCATTGAAATCGGTGACAGTTTTTCGACTCCTTCCAATATATCGCCTTATTTTGAAAAGTCGTAATATGAACAGTTGTATGAAACGAAGTAATTTAGAGTATTTAATAGAGAGCTGTGTCCGACAGCTGTATGACACGAAGTAATTTAGAGTATTTAATAGAGAGCTGTGTCCGACAAAAATAATTTTAGCTGTTTTTGTGATACAGATAGTGGATGTAGAAGACCGCAGCTAATTTTCTTACTTGTTCAATTTGCAAATTCGCCGACAGCAATACGTCTTAATTTATCAATTAATAAATAAATGAGATGAAATTACTATCAAACATTTATAACAGTTGTTCCAACCTAGCAAAAGTTTTTTTAAATAAAAAGTCCCTTCACTTTTTGACCATAATAATATATTTGCGGATATATTTTACATATTTATATGCGAGTGTTAAAGCCAATTGCAGTGGTTCTCAAATACGGTTAGTTGATGCATCAAAACTACACAGGTTTTGATTAGCTTATGCTTGGCTTAGGCAATCAGATAAAGCCGGACAGACTAGATTTGAAAACTTTCTTTTTTCAGCATTGTTACGGGTCTTCATGATCGTGAGCGTGGATTTGTTGTAAATTTGTAAAACCAAGTTAAAGTTTTACGTTAAAGTTCCGATTACAGATAAACGACACGGGAGACGGCTATATACGGACATTGTGTACTTGCAGTCTTTATCAAATTCAAAATTCGTTAAGATTAGCGAATCATACGCAATCTCCTCTGTAGTTGAACAAAAAATTTGATGAAAGCGATTTCTTAGAATCTGCTTATTTTCCGTGCTTTAACAGTAATTGTGAAAAGTTTATTCCATGAATTTGAATCTTTCAACGGCAACAAGATTAACCGAATTTGAAGAAGAAAGAAACAAAAAACGAGTTCATTTAAACAAAAAACAATCGATCAGCGATTGCGCATGTGCGGCATTAAACTGGAAATTTGTATGATATACAAGATAAACAAATCGTCATACTTGATAATAATATATCGAATAAACACTTTTATAACATAAGTTGATCATATTATGCATATTAATAAATATCTTGTGTTTAAGTTAGAGGGGTTCGCACATTCATCTTCTTATTATTATCTGATTTGAATTATTTTCAAAATTTTCTTAAAAGTCAAGTAACTAAGATT